TCTATTACTATTATAATAAAATGTAAATAACAACTAATATCAAAAAATAACGTAAAATATTTTAATGATAAATTATATAGCTAAAATTATTAAATTAATAACTTCAAATTTTTTTAAGTTTGGTATTATTCTACTACATTATATTTAATTTGAGAATGAGTAAATAAAATCTACCTTCGTTAATCCATGAAAAATTATTTTTAATGTACAACATATTTTTAAATGTCAATTAAATTTGATTAATACATGTACTATTTCAATTACAATTTAAATACATTTTTGCGAACCATATTTTATTTTATTCAAAATAGACTAAATTGTTCTATATAAACGAAATTATTTTAGTAATAAAAACTATATTTTATGTTTATTCGATATAATTGATATTATATTGCCAGTGCTTGACGTTCATTATTGTTATAATAACCATAAAATATGCGTTTATACTTTTGTTTTGGAATTTTACTTTGTTTTATTTCTCTAATTACCATACCAAAGTTTTCAACCGGAATGCCAAGCTCAGGTGGATCAACTTCTAACAATCAGGTAAAATGAGTATTCCAAATAATTATGAATAATAAAATGATAATAATTATTACTATCATTTTACATGATTATTATTTTTTTAATTTTTAAAATATTTTGCAACTTATGATAGTAATTGTAATAACAAATGAAATAAATGTTTTGTAGGGTGATTCTAGTGGAGTCAATAACAATGAGGTAAATCAAGTATTTATAATTATTATTAATTTTTTATATACTTATTATAATGTTTAATGGCTTTAGTACCTATACAGAATATTTCATTTTAACACTTGACATTCGATTGCTCTTAAAATAATAATTAATAACTTATTATTTAATAAGTTAAAAATATTATTTATTTCATGATTTATCAGTTATTAATTATTTTTTAGATCATCCCATATAACTTATAGGCATTTCAACTAAATTTTTTGAAGTAGTAACATACATATTTAACTAGCTTATTACATAAAAAAAGGAACTTAAATAAAGTTTTTTGTAACTTAAATTGCATAGTGTGTTATTACATAAATACGGTAGCACAGTGTGGACGAGGCATAAATGGGACAAGTATCATATTACAATTACTATCATTAAAAACGCTTCGATGCAAATCTGTAGATAGTGTTTAATTTTAAGAGATTGGTAGATTATTTCAAAATCAATCATAACTCTTATTCCCTTAATTTTATTCCGATTCACAATTATAATATTTGAATACAAATTAAGTATAATAATTAAATTTAGTATGAAATTCAGATTCAATAATATAATATTGTAATTTTTATGGAGATAATATAAAAATGAAAAGGAGTTGTATATTCATATACTTTTAACGCGTATACAAATTTAAAGAGTTTGATGCAATACTTTTTTATAAAAAAATGTTGTTACTTATTAATAAATACACTAAACTACAATGAATTTTCATCAGAAACAAAAATACACTTTTCTAAAACAACTATTCGCGATGTTTTCAAATGTGAATTTAAACTTTTTATATTACTTCTAAGTTTTAATATAATTACTTGTTATTAAAAAATGAGTATTTCATATAAAAAAAAATAATTAAGAACAAAAAAAAATTGTTTTAAATTAACAATGATTTTGATTATTAATATGTTAAAAATAAGGAAAATGACATATTTAATCTATTGTTTTAATCGTTTAAAATTGATTCTTGTGAATATTTGTAATAAAAAATAATTTATTTATTTTACTATAACTCTAACTGTTTATATCTAAAAGTAATTTTTAAATTTTAACTTTATAAATATTTATTAATTTACTTTAATAATTGCTATAAACTAATTTATAATAGCGCGCTGATATTTTTTTAGGACCCGAATCCCATATCAACTTATTATTCAACTTGCATAAACAATATATTATGGGAGATGGCTGATAATGATATAAAATCTATTAAACCTTTTTTTGATAAAGTATTGAGTGAATCTAAAGTTAAAAAATCTATGAGAAATCGTATAAATAATATAATTGAGAGCATAATTGATTCAGGTATTTAAAATTTATTTTTTTATCATATGTATACAGAATGGTTTATTTAAAACAACCTATTTAATAACTCACAGTATGAAAATTATTTAAATATTTAATTTATTTTTAATTACTTTTAGTTACATATTATTCATTAAGCTATGTAATAATTTTTAAGTTCATACCTTATGCTTTGTATGGATGTCAAATATGCTTTTTCAAAGGAGAACATAAATTTGAATTTAATAAAATGTTTGACATTTTTTATTTTAATAATAAATAATATTAAAACTATTTTTGCTACTAATTTATTTATTATTAAAACTATTTCATTATAAAACATAATTAAAAAAAAAAACTATTTACTCAGGTAATAAGTTATTGACTCGTGATTGGTAATATAATTTTTTTAACATTTACTATTAACATAAAAATTTTCAATTTCAGATATTTTATGATCCAACAGCTAATTTAAGTTTACACCAGAAAAATAAAATATTAAGAGCTTTTGTAGTTTGGTATTTTTGTAAAATATAGAAAAAAAATATTGCAAAATAATAACTTAACTTTGTTTCTTTAGTTTTATTGGGATATTTTTTAAATGAGTTAGTTATAAAAATAGGCGAGTTATAGCATAAAATATTATTATAGGTAATTTTGCAATATTTATTTCTCTAATTGACTAATAATTAAAACACCAAATTACAAAAACTCTTAATATTGAGAAAAATTGTTTTATTTTTTTAATTGCACATACCTAATCCATTTTTTGGCCCGTATAACAAAATAATATATAATATTCTTTGCTATATATTTGATTATAATGTCTATTGAATATCTTATTAATACATTTATTTTTGTTGGTATATTTTATATAAAACTCTACATTATTTCTGATTTTTTGAAAAAAAAAAAAATTATAATTATTCGTTGGTAAATTCGTTAATAGTAAATGATTAAAAATTATTCAAGAAAAAAATTATAAGTAATTTATTATTGTTTAGTTTTATGTAAAATAATTAAAAAATATGACGATTGCAATTAAATATATTCATAGCATAATAAAAACACTTCTTTGGAGTACACGATAGACGATAATTTCGCAATAACTCAAAAATGTTTATACTTTTTGCATTTTGGACTACATTTTCAGACCGGGCAGAAGATTTTACATCAAAAATGACTGTTATATGTTAGCGGTCAGTTTTGTTGTAAACTAGTACAATACTAATAACTATTAGTGTTCCTATATTTGGGTATATTTTAAGGGAATAAGATTCATCTGTGCCTATTTATAGTTTGAAATAAAGATTTTTAATTATTAAATTATATTTATACTTGGTTAAACATTTTTAAATTATACCTCTTAAGTCTAGAATTTAATGTTACAAAGACATTTTACGAATTTTCAAATGCATAACTAAAAAGGTGTAATCATATTTTATATAATATATTTCTCTAAATTATTTTTAAAATTTCTAGAAAATTTGAATTTGTTTTAATAAAAGTGTCAAGATATCTGGAACACTTTCAAAAATTAAGTTGGAACGATCAATTCGTGTACAAAAATTGATTTCTTGAATCCCTCTTTTGGGCAGGTTAAGTGTTAAATTATTAAAAAATGTATATCAAATAAATGGGAAATATCTAACGTTTCAACATAAAAACCAAATATTATGATTCGTTCATTTTTAAATAAGTTGCAGCTGTTTTAAGAAAAAAAAGTTTAAAAAATGTTGAATTTAACTATTTTAACAATTGTAATTTTTTGGGGGAATTCCCCCATTTACAACGATTGAGAGGATTTTTTCAAGTTTTAAGGGCATCGCCTTCAAGTAGATACGATTTGTGAGCTTTTGACGCATCGTTGAAAGAAATCGGACCGGTGAGAGCTGAGAAAAGTTGTGACAGGAATTTAAAAAAAACACATCTTATTTAAATCAATACTTTCTCAGCTTCACATCAAAAATAAAAAGTTTTATTGATTCATATATTTTTCAAATGTACTTTAAATGCCGAGCTACGAATTCATTGTAATGAAGATATGTATAAGGCATAAACTTGTTATTCATATTTGATTAATGTTTGATACTTTGAATCCATAACTCGTAATGAAGTGTGAGTGCAATTTAGCCTTTTTTCTAAATTTTAATTACTCCATCTAGGGGTCTGTAGCATGTTAGGTTCGGGAAGTAGAAGAATGTAAAACTGTAATTTTTTTTAAGATACTTTTAGTAACTTAAAATAAATAATAAATAAATATCTAACCTAGCCTAGTGAGTAAAAAGGATTGTTTCATCGCACGAAGCCTGGGTTCGTTCCTCAGGGTACACACCAAATGTTAAATCTTTTTATAACGTTAAATGAATACACGCTTTAATTGCATTTTATAGAAGTTTAATTATTTATAATAATAGCCAAAAAAAGACATTTTTATTAAAAAAACCTTATCTTAAAACTTTAAATTTTTTGCAGCGAATATTTTATTATATTCATACGATGTTTAGTAATTTAGTGTGAGAGTTACAGTGTACAGAGTGATCTATATATCATAAACCATTTAATTACTCACAAGAAGAAATATAATATTGTAAACAAATTATTATTATTATTTTATAGTTGTATAATAATCTAACTTATAACAGAATAAAATAATTAAAATAAAGAATTGTTTTCATACAATTCCTTGATAAATGAGAAGAAACTCGCCAAACTGATTGTTTCTAAATAAGTCGTCCAGTTATAATAAGTTATATTTTATTAATGTCTAAAATAATTTTTTTTCTTCGTCAATTAGCTAATAACTAGAAAACACATACAGATACAAGTCCCACTTTAACGGAATGACAAAAATATTAGATTTTAATTTTATAGATTTTTGTTGGGTCAAAAATAATGTTACTATATGATTAATTTTTTATTCTGCGATTTAGATTATTATTCTATATTATATAAATTTGTTGGTATTTTGTTAGATGATAAAACGGACGCAATAAATGAATGTACTGAGTTTATAGTGAATTTGACGAAAAATAACGAAGATGAGTTAAAAAGAAATTTATGTGAAGGTGATCCAAATAACATAGAAACAATTACACAAGATTATGCAAAATTAACTCTTTCAGAAAGTTCATTCAATACAAGTCCTAAATTAAAAAAATTCTTTGATTTTTTAATTGAAAAAAATTTGAATGACAAACATCAAGTTCTATACAAAGGTAATTATTATTACTTTTTTTGAAATCTATAAAAATATTTGAAACATTTTTCAACTTTTAAAATGGTTGTTTTTCATATTTTTGCTTATACATTTGTTCATTATTTTAAATAATTAAAAAAAAAAAAGACATTTTGCTGAAAATTTATAATTTTTAATTAAAAATATTTTGATTTTAAATAACAAAGGTTTTTATTAACTTTAATAGTCATTTATATTATGTTATTTTTAAATAATGTACAATAAGTTACATAATAATAGTTTGAATTTTTTCATTATTTGATTAAATATGAAAGAGATTTTCACATTAACTACTCATATTCTTTTGTTAATCATAATTGAACTTCATAAGTTGTCTCTGGTTATATAATTTGAAGTGTATGATGTGTATCTTAGATTTCAATTAGAGCAATTAAATTGTTAGACATTTAAAAAAAAAATGTTATAAAAATAATATTATATAATTTGTAAGCGGGCTTTTTATGTTGGCCTGTAACAACAACATGGTTTGCCATTTGCATAACGACTAGCTATAGGAGCAAGGGTCGCCACCACCCAGGCAAGGTGTCACACCTATCAGATATGATTACCAGACCATTACCAAAAATAAAACATTTAAACAAAATAATATTACAAACATCACGAATGGTATTGGAACACATACGTTAATGTTAATTGGAAATTAATGAAAAACACCAGGAGCGGTCTGGACACTCGCTCCTTAGCGTTGGCTAGAAGAATAAATATAGTTTAAAAAACTAAAAAAACACGCTTTTAAAGTACATCGAACTAAAAAGTTAAAAATAATTTTTAAAATAATTATGAACAAAAAATACTAGTATTATTGTGATAAAAGCGTCGGGCGCTCAATATACGAAAAATATGGCACAAAGCACCCACGCTTTTATCACAATAATACTAGTATTTTTTGTTCATAATTATTTTAAAAATTATTTTTAACTTTTTAGTTCGATGTACTTTAAAAGCGTGTTTTTTTAGTTTTTTAAACTATATTTATTTTTTACTTTTTAGTTTCATGTTATGATAGTAGTTACTATCAATATCATGGTTGTTACGGGTAACGGGAAATCAGGGTTCGATTCTGGGGAGGGAGTCTGAGAAACGGCTACCACATCCAAGGAAAGCAGCAGGCGCGTAAATTACTCACTCCCGGAACGTGGAGGTAGTGACGAAAAATGACGATACGGAAATCATCCCTCGTAATCGGAATGAATACTTTATATCTCTTAATTAGAATAAATCGTGTTAATATATTAATTTTAATAGTAATTAGAATATATATATTTATACAAATAATGCGACTTAACTACGTAAAAGTATCATGCACTAAGTATAGCTGTGTTTTATGGCCGGGCGGGTCGGACTAACGTTATACCCGAGGTATAAACGGCGGTAGGAATATATATATATATACGTAAGGCGCATTAGACGCGGGCGTTATTGGTCAGTCAAAATAAAAATTTGTTTACATATATATAATATTGATGACAAGCACGCGTGTACGGGTACGATAACTAAAAATAAATTTTTATAGGAATAGTGTACCGTCGTATTGTGAGCGAGGCGTGGGGAGGGGTGAATGCGTATAACAGTCTAGTCTAGACAACGGAATATGCGATAACGCGTGGCGTTTGGAGAGTTACAAACTTACAAACAAACAACAAACATACACGTGAAACTAATAAAAGCGTGTTAAAAAGGAAACACGTGCTCTCTACACATAAACAAAATTAAGTTAATTTACAATAAAATAAAAATGAAATAAAATAATTAATAAAATATAGCTCATTACATAAATATAATATATAAATGAAAACGATACCCGGTCTCTGAAGAAACCCATCCGATGGTCTGGATGCTTTGCCGAAAAAACATGGCCGTTCGCTGTTGGCGGCTCTACTCCATCATTGAAAAAAAAATGTCAATAAAACAATAAATGTGAGCACCCTAGCACAGTCAATGACAGAAGAAGGAAAGAGAAAAGTCAACACCGATCTAACGGCAATTTCAAATCGATAACGGCCAGTCTTTTTGGAAGGGATCAATACTGAAAAAAAATTCGATTTTAATTATATTTCTCTTTTATCGCCTTATTTAGCGGACAGCGGCAAAATAATGAGTGGTTGACACCTCTATGTCAGAAAAAGGTTTTTTTACGCGATAAAATAAATAAGTAGACATAACAAAAAAATCATAAATGGTCCACCTTCGAATTTGTGAGGTTACAAATTATTTAATAAAAAATGTAATTAGGAACTGTAGTAACTTTATAGGTAAATATTTGTGCATGGTTTTAAGCGTGTAGGGATGAATAATTTGGCTAAGTTGGCGGATCCAGTGTAAGTTCATGACTCTTAAATAACTTATTTATAATTGAGTTATGAAAATATCGGACTAATAACCGTAACATGGCGTTACGGACAATTATTATTTTTTGGGTTACAATTAATCTTAATAACATACTTTACTTTAATCAAACATTTTATAATTATTCAATAATTGTTGCATATTAACAATTATTACTAACCTTTTTGTGTTAGATAAATTAATTACTGGTTACTTACACTTCAAACTATTGTTTTTTAAAGCTATTATTTATTATTTATGTAGCATAGGTATAATTAGGATTTATATTCGAAATGATTTTTTCCTCAAAATATCAGCTTAACCCTATGATCAGGGACACTTGATGAATTTGGCATTTTTTAAGTAAAATGTGTATTTAATAAAATAATTGTTTTCAATTTTGCAGTTTATACTTATTTGTTACAATCCAAAAATATTAAAAATATTGTTTTAACTTTTAAAGACTTCTCATAGGATATATAAAACTTATGTTCGCCGACTTACTCGGGTAACTTCTATACTTTTTGGGGAAGAATATCAATTATTTGTATAATATACAGTAGAACTCCAATTATCCGAATTAATGGGGACCGGGACCCATTCACTGACTAATCAAAATAAACAATGACAGGTGACTGCAATGCGCCGGAACTGGAGTGGGAACTCTTACCACGTGTTGTGCCTACACTGACGCCGCGGACTTTGGACAAATTTTTTTCTGATTTTTTCTGAAAGTGATTCGGATAATCGGCGATTCGGATGATCGGAGTTCGGATAATTGGAGTTCTACTGTAAATAAATTTACAATCTTATTTCGTTTCAGAACTACTTAAAAACTTTGGACCAATTATGCAAGAATTTGAAGACACTTTTGAATTTAAGGACTATGAAGTCGATGAAAACGACGAAGACGATGATGATTATTAAAATGATACATAAATACTAATAAATATTGGAAGTTGCTAATTATAGTAAATCTTCATTAGAAATTTTTGTTCCATAATATATTTATTCATATATGTTAAATTGTTATTAACAAATTGATGTTAAATTTATAATATTCAGAGAAAATATATATCATATTTTTATACTTTATTATTAAATTTCTATGGGTAAATGGCCATAAAAATTAATAATCAAAAATATTATAATTGTTATCAACAAGAATACTAAAAAAATATACATTTTACAAAACAGGCGATATAAAATTGTTAAATCTATACTAAATTAATCTTTCGCATGATTTTATTGACATTATCTACATCGATAATAATTTTTTGTCTACAATTTAAAATGTTTTATTCATGAAACCAAATTTGATTTTTGATTCAAACAGCAAAACAATCATAATTTTGAGTTGTTAATTTTCGACAGGGCGATATGTGTTACATTTATTAAAATATAATTATTTTAATACATCTCTTAGATATTTACCTTTGTAATTTTTCTGATTCAAATTCCATTATACATTTTTATGAAGAAATTATTAGTTAACCTAAAAATGGGTATAGTATAAATCACCATATTTATAATTTCATGATTGAAAAATAAAAAACCCATCGCAACGAGGTCGTGGCACAGTGCTGTCGTGGCATAGTTGGGTCCAGTATAGATGATATCTGAGAGTGAATAAAATCAATATCATGAAAAACGCTTCGATATAAATCTATAGATAGTTTTTAATTTTATAAAAATTGGTGAATTATTCCAAAAGCTACATGATCTTCTATTTCTTTATTTATATCCTGACTATTAGTTTTATGATTTATAAATGAAATATATAAATAACTATTTATATATATATATATTAAGCTGGTCCTTATTTGACCAACTTTAAAAAATCGAATGGAAGAATCCCACATTTTGTTTTAAGTAGTAAATAAAAATTTTTCGTAAAATTTGAATATTCTACAGCAACGCTTTCACACGCCTCAAATTCTTTGAAAAATGACGAAAAAAGGTAGAACTATAGAATCAATTTTTTAGGAAAATATGTTAGCAAAATAAAAGGTTCTTACATATATTTACGTAACATTGACCGCTAACATAGAAATTAAAAATACTACTCAAACATTTTTTTTTTCATTTTTTGACAATATCTCTCTAAATATTGAGAACACAACAAAAGTGAACGACATAAAATATATTAAAAAATACATAAATAAAAAAAAATGTTATTATAATTTTTTCTATAATACTGAAATTTAAGCGTTTAAATTGAGAAAATCACTTAATTTTTAAAAAAAACCAAAAATTATTTCACTGATGCATGTTTTTCTAAGTAGTTTTTAATTTGTTACTCAAAATAATTTATAAATAAATTATCTTCAAATGCTGCTTTAAAAAAATATTAATGAACAATTTTGGAAACTGAAACATAATTTTTCTAGTGGATGGGATTTGAACCTAATTTACCTTACCATCATGACGGGAGCTTTCCCTCTGCGCTACCTGGTAATCGAGGATACTTAGACTTTAATGATATTTTTGCTCTTGTTGGTTGATGAAATCTTGTTATTTTGGAAAAAGGCAAAAATACCTTCAAAATATCACTGTTATATGGTTCAAAAATTTAAAATATTATATGATAATTAGCGAAGATTAAAAAAATAAAAATCGAGAAAATCCGTAACA